ACCACCAGGCCTGGCTAATTTTTAAAAAAAATTTATCGTAGAGATGATGTCTCACCAAGTTGCTCAGCTGGTCTTGAACTTCTGGGCTCAGTCAATCCTCCTGCATCCTCCCCACAGAGTACTGAGATTTCAGGCATGAACCCTGAGGCACTTCTTTGACTTTGTGGGAAGATTTTTTTTTTCTGTAATGAACTATAAATAGCAAAATTTGCCATTTTAACCATTTTTAAGTATACAATTAATTGGCATTAATTGCATTCACAATCTTGTGCAAGCATCACTACTATCTATTCCAAAACTTTTTCATCACTTCAAGTAGAAACTGTATACCCATTAAGTAATAACTCTGTATCCTCCCTTTCCCCCCATTCCCTGGTAGCCTCAATCTTTCTGTCTTTATGAATTTGCCTATTATAGATATTTAAATAAGTGGAGTCATATAATATTTGCCCTTTTTTTCTGGCTTATTTCACTTAGTAAAATGTTTTCAAGTTTCATCCATGTTGTAGTCTATCAAACTTTTCCTTTTTGTATCTGAACATTATCTCATATTTATCTGCCATATTTTGTTTTCATCCATTGATGGACAATTGAATTGTTTCCAACTTTTGACTATTGTGAATAATTCGGTAATGAACAATAATGTGTAAGTATCTGTTCTAGTCCCTGTCTTCAGTTCTTTTGCATATACAAGTTCGGACAATTAAGTTCGCGAACTCACCCTACTAATGCTGCATACCTCATTGCTGAATATCACTTAGAAATACCCTCTTTGGGAAGCTATGCACTGATGCCAGTGCCTAGTTCACCCTCAGAGCAGTTTTGGAGCTCTTTTTCTGGAATGACCATCAGAGCTATCATTGTATTAGATATCCTGAGTGTCATCAAGATGTCTTCCTTTCAATATTTCCTTTATCTTCGGGTAAAGAAAAAAATCATTGGGAGCCAGATCAGGTGAATAGGGAGGGTGTTCCAACACACCTATTTGTTTACTGGCTAAAAACTCCCTTGCAGTCAGTACTTTGTGAGCTGGTACATTGTCATGATGCAAGAGCTCCTTCAGGATCATTTTTGCACACACTTTTCTCATGTCAAGATTTTCTGTTTTTCTATCGATGTTTATTTGGTCTGTTAATGCTTCTCACAGTCAGCTGACAATTTTGATGCACAACTCGATGAATTTTTGCACTGTTTTCGCCAGTTCTGCTCATTACTGGCCATCCGAACCTCTTCTTTTCTCTCTTTTTTTTTTTTGAGTCAAAGTCTTACTCTGTCACTCAGACTGGAGTGCAGTGGCATGGTTACGGCCACTGCAGCCTCAACCTGCTGGGCTCAGGCCGTCCTTCCACTTTAGCCTTCCAGGTAGCTGGAATTACAGGTACATGCCACCACGCCCGGCTAATTTTTTAAAATTTATTTATTGTAGAGATGAGGTCTCGCCATGTTGCCCAGACTGGTCTCAAACCTGTGAGCTCTGGCAATCCTCTCACCTTGGTCTCCCAAAGTGCTGAGATTATAGGCATGAGCCACAGCACCTGGCCTGACCTCTTTTCATTAGTTTTCCCCTCAGAAAAACATTTAATCCATTTGTACACTGCCATTTTCTGCAGGGGTCCCGGCCGCAAGGGTCGTGAGATCTCCTGAAGGAGAGACGGATAGGTGAAAGACGAAAACATTATACTCGGACACCTGCTTCCTGAACAGATGAC